TTTGAAAGAATGGCCAAAATGATCACTAGACTATTATACAACTTGAAACTTAAAAAGAAAAAATAACTAATTGCTTTATTGTATAAAATCTTAACATGTAGCTACAAAAATTTGAAAAATACAAAATAAATACAAAATTTCCTTAAAATTTATAAGGAAAAAAAAGCCCTAAGCTTATACGAATAAGTTACATATCTCAAAATATTAGAATAAACATTAAGTCTCTCACTATTTCTACATGATCATTTTTAGGTTTATTGCTTATTAGAACCTTATCAACTTATGTTATGTGTTATTTATTTGGATCAAAACCTATTGAGAAGCTCTGTAAAACAAAACAAGCCAAAATGATTTTTTTTTTTTGTTGAAAATAATGGAAATCTTTCATGGAAAGTAAAACAATGCACTTTTCTTAATGATTCAAGACACTAATCACTTAATCAAATTGGCATAGATATTCTTTATATAATCTTAACTTAAAGGCCAAGTGTTAGTAGTTCTAAAAAATAGTATAAAATCAGCAAAATAAGATGCTACGATTGACTTTGGAGAATTTTAAAAAAAAATTAAGAGAGACTAGTCCCTAAAATCATGCAAAACAAATTTCTTATTGAGATAGGGGACTCTTCAATGTTTAAACTAGCAAATCATAGGAGGAAAATAATGCATAGAAGAAAAAAAATGAGAACAATGTGCGTACAAAAGTAAATATTGTGATTTTCATATGTTATGTTGCTTTGTGATATTATGTACCTACTGACCCGGAGCATTTATGAACCTTGGTCATATAAGATTATCTCATGGGATATGATGTTATAGACATATGATAACCATTGACAAAAAAGCTAGACGTTGTATTAGCAATTTACAAATTCATAAGCATGGGAGATTATAATGTTATATTAACAAGGTGTAGCTAGAGAAGTAAGTTTGCAACAATATATTGACTACTTGAATGTCATAATATTGCATTGTGGTGTGTGCTAGTCTTGCCCTTATGAAATTCATGTGGGATTTAGACCCAATTGAGATAGTTAGGTGTTTTATCAAGGCTTGATCCGAGTAATAAGGCCTAAATAACATAGCGAATAACTTAGATGTTCACTGTTTGTTGTTAGGCTAAGGCCCAAACAACTTAGTGGATAACCAAGTTATTCATGCATTGTTGAGCTAATGAACAAGTGAATAGCCAAGTTGTCTATTCTTTTTTTCCCCACCAAACACTAATAGACCATATTGATCTTTAAGCTTAAACTATATTAAAAGAAAAGATACAAGTTTTCAAACACATAAATGATTGAGAACTTGCACTTGATGTGGCATATAAGACTACACAACACAAGACTAAAAAAATAAATGAAATGGTGTGATTGTAGAGGTCATATAACATAAGAAAAAAAAAACAATAAGAATAAAAATAAAAGTAGGTTATGTGGTTGCGGGAGGCCATATAACATATGACTAAAGATTAGGCATTATAAAAATGACATACAAAAAACTATAATATAAAATACATGATATGAGTACAAATCATAAGGAATAACCTAACAATTCAAGGTTGCATCGCTAAAAAGAAATTAGGTGTTATGTATACCTCACAAATAACAAGAGAAACTTGATTCGAAATTTGAAAATTTGCATTAAGGAGTGTTGAAGAATAATACATATCTTTTATGGAAAGTATTCATCTATTTTTCACCTAAATCCTCAAAAACTAAAATATTTTGACATTTTCATCATATCTATGTCATATCTAACTTTACACAAATAGTATGACCATATCTTATTTTTTCTACTAAATTTGAGAGTACTGATTCAGCACACCAAAAGCTCTTGAATTACATTGCATAGGGGTGCATATCTCAAATCAAATAACTCTTTTTATTTCATAAGCATGTCGAGAATATTCTTTCAAATGATATTAATTATGATTATTATAAAGAGTGATAAGTCTAAAGCAATGTTATCAAAATCGCAAGTTAACTTGTAAAATTGTATGATTTTAGGAGTCAACATGTATATAACTTGTGAAATCGAGTTAAAAACTCGAAAATTAGTAAAATCAAACAAAATCAAGCAAACTCAAAAAATTGATCAAATCAGACTGATTATACAAGCTTGATAAAATTTAAAAAATGTATGATCTCCCTGTCCTTGAGTTCCCCATATCCCCTTTTTTCTTTGTTGAAATTTCAAATTCTCAAGTCTTGACTCTCAACCTTAGCAAGACTAACACCAGCAACATAGCTTCTATAACTTCCATTCTCTCTCTCTCTCTCTCTCTCTCTCTCAAAAGACCCGTTTTTTCTCTTATTTCATTTTCCTCAAATCTGATATTCTGATAAAAGACCCATTTTTTCTCTTACTTCATTTTCCTCAAATCTGATATTCTGATTGTCTCTAGATTCATCAATATCCACAGTCCAAATTAGATTTTCATATATTATTCCAAGTAGGGAGTGTTTAATTAATCTATTATAAGTACCAGCTACCAGTCACTTGGTTTACCATGCATCACCTGCTAATATCACAATTATTGGTTACTTGCCTTATCAAACATTATCTTCTACTACTCACTAATCTCAATCTCTTCATTCTCAATATTTATAACATATATATTTTTAAAGTCTATATTTTTAAAATATCATTGCACTTTCTCTCTTTACAAAGTTACTGATTTTACCATCAGAGAGTCCCTACATCCATCAACTAGGATCTTTTATAGGTACCAACTACTAGTTATCTGGCTTACCAAACATCACTTGCTACTACAACAATTACTGGTCACCTGTTTTATCAGGTATTATCTATTACCACTTACCAATCCTCTAGACTTTTTATATTAAGTCATTAAATACCTTGACCATAAAGAATTGATCAGATTGCATAAACTAATAAATTAACTAATTATATAATACATTAAACTTATTTCTAAACATTTTAGATTTAAAAACTCATCATGTAATCTCTCTTTCCTTTATATCTAGACACTTTATTGATGCATTGATGACATTGATGGCACTAATATAATATTGTAAAAATAACATGAAAAAGTTGATATAGATATACTTTTATACAATCATGAAAATAGGGATAAAATCTCCCTCCACTTTGAAGTATTTTTGAAGGGATTGTGAAATCACATAATTATATAAAAAATTGATCTTCAAGTATTATAATTTTTCCGAGCACTTGATGAAAATGATTAATTGTCTAATAATCTAAAATATAAGTCAATATGTTTTTATTTATTTATTTATTTATTTATTTATACACCATATAACATTCTAAATAAGCCATTTAAATTACTCCTAAACTATACAGTACTATATTTATATTGGCTATGAACTCTAAAAATTTAAAAACAAGTCAATAAAAAAAATATAAAGTACAATCCTTATATAAAAAACTAAAGGAGATTACTTGAAATCAATTATGTTTATTTAATAAACATTAAAATTTAAAAAAAAATATGATAAATTTATTAAATAGTATGCAAGCTTTTCAAAGATAAATTATAAGATGTAAGATTTGGACTCAGCACACTCTAGTCCAGTAAAAACTATGCTGAGAGATAATAATGACAAAAGTTTACTATTGTAGTGTAGATTGTTTTTATATTAATATATTTTAATTAAAATTTTATTAAAATAATTTTTTTAGTTGTTTTATATATTTTAAATCAATATATTAAAAATAAAAATAAAAATAAAAATATTAATTAAACATTTTTCATATGAATAATAATATAAAAAATAAGTTGAAACATAAAAATAAAAAAAATAGAAAATTAGCATAGAAATCTTGCTTATTAAATGTTATAAAATGAAAGAGTTTAATTTTTTAAATAATATTATTCATTTAAATTCTTTTAATTATTGTTATAATTATTAAATATTAAGAGCCCGTTTAAAAATGTGGTTGTAATTGTTTTTTAAAGTATTTTTAAGAGCCCGCTTAAAAATGTGGTTATAATTGTTTTTTAAAGTATTTTTTAAATATATTAAAATAATATTTTTTTATTTTTAAAAAATTATTTTGATATAATTTATTAAAATAATCTAAAAATATTAAAAAATATATTAATTTAATAAAATTAAAATATTTTTAAAATATAAAAATAAATACAGTTGGGCAGCAGCTTGGAAGTACAGAAAGTTAGAATGATAACGTCTGCTGCTCCTAGCATGAGACCTTTAATGATGTGGCATTGAGGAACTCAGAAAAACTTTATGAGAGTGTCTTCCGACACTTGATTGAACACGAGGTCTCAAAAAGTGTGTAATATTAAGGCCTCTTTTTTGGATACTATTTATTAATTAATCCACTAAAATATTAGCGTAGCTTTCATGAAAATCTTCAGTCCTCAACTTGACCGCATCCTTTTGTAAAAGAAGAAAAACAAATCAAATGGGTTTCCTTAGACACGTTATATGGTTTCGTGTGTGAAGATAACAAGGATGGGCAATTTGGATACTCTATGAATGTGTTTGTGTACACATAAATTAGTCTCGACGATATTAAAAATTAAAATTAATAAAAAAATTAAATTATATAATTAGTTTTTATTTAACAATTTAACTCTTTAAATTAAATTAATTTTTTAATATAATATTAATTTTTTAATGATCAAGCGGTTACGAGTTTGAATCTTATTATCATTATTTATATAATAAAAATTAAACACAATATAGTATAATATGGGTTAGTATAAATTTTAAATTTAAAAAATTTATTTAAAAAATTGATAAATTAAAAAATAATATAAATTATTTATTAAATCTCACTTGATAAATTAGCTTTTGAGAAAAATATTGATAAAATTAATTGAGTTAGTGCACGTAGTCACATGGATTAAAGGACTTTAGGGTCTTGATCCTTTGACCAAAGCTTAGATTTCTTGTCTACCAAACAATACCAAACTTCCTCCCAAGTAATTCTCGAACATAAACAAAACACACGGAAAGCACATCTTGTTGTAGCCACAGCTTGCACTTTATTACTATTCCTTCGTGTCTGCATCCCTTCCATAATCTCATAGAGAAAATTCCAAAACACACACATACCCCCTCTCTCTCTGTTGATGGAAAATATATCTGAGGCATCACCATCATCACCAGGGAGTTCTTCCTTGGCAAGTCCAAGTATTCAAATGGTTTCGAAATCAGTCTCCGAGAGACTTCTTGGTAAGTTCTTCGATGCATCTCAATATGACTTCGATTATGAGCAAAGTGGTCTTTGGTCTCCACCAATACCTGCCAGAAGGGTTTTCTTGGCTTCACCAGCAGGCCATATTTACTCCAAAGATGAGTTCTTCTCGGAGCTCAAGAAAGGAAAGAGAGCGTGTAGAAAGCGCAGTGCTTGCTTCAATGTAGGTTTACTAATAATTATGACAGTCTCTTCATTATAAATAATATCAGTAATTCACCACGGTTAGTTCTTCATGTTTTTATACTTCTCTATATTCCAGTTTACACACTCTCACACACACTTTTTTTTAGGTATGAGCAATTTTAGATGACACTCCATGATTGTTCTTCATTTTTCAATCTGTTCACTGCATTTTCTGAAAATTAAAAATGAGGAGCAGTGTCCATATCTTGGATCACAATTAATTATATTCATCCATGTGAATTATTTTATACGTGGGCAGCTATATTGTGTATATGTTACATTTATAGATATCAGTTATATCTAGAAAATGATTTTGGGATGCCTTCTTTTCCCCCCTTTAATTTGCAGGCCTTTTGGTGCACTTGAAGACGACTACCTTGATTGGTGCCATCCCCGCCTTATTTTTTCTCTTACAAAGGCATGTTTAGTCTCAATCACTGCTCCCAAGCTGCATTGGGAAGCTTAATGGATGATAGTCAAAAAGGTTCAATTCAAGAATATTGAACCCCTATATATATATATATATATATATATATATATATATATATATATATATATATATATATATATATATATATATATTAAAAGTGGAAGAAGTGATTAGGGAAGTTTCATACCCGTATTATGTAGACAATTTACTAGCTTGCCACATGAACTGCTGATTTATTTATTTATTTTGGCTAATTAAATCAACCATTGAATGGTTACATGTCTATAATTATATGTTAATATCCAATAATATAAAGACAAGTGTATTTGATTTTGTATTTGTGTATTTTATGAAAAAAGTGCATTAATGTACTCTTAGAAGGGACATTAACTATTTTTTTCCAACCAATACTTTGAGTGAATGTTTCTCAAAATACATATGTTGTTAATTATATTTTATTTAAATCAAATTAAATTTTGTGTTGTAGACCTTAGACTAAGATGTGTATTGTACAGTTTTTATTAAGTGTGGATCGATTAAAAAGCAAGAAAAAATACAAGCCCAACCAATCTTAAGGTCCTTTAAGTTTCCAAAAATTTTATTATAATACATGAATTGGATTGGATATTTTGCTTAAATCCTTATAGTATTTCAATTAAGTCTTTCATTAGTAAACGTGTGAAAATAAATGGATAAATGTAAGATATGCTATTGATAGAGATAAAGGTGAGAATAGTTATGTTAGTAAAAAAGTTGTACGTTCATCGTAGAAGTGAAAGAGCTAATAGTTAGATAATCATTACAATAATTCTTAAGAGAGTTTATGTATTAAGATAGTAATAATTATTTGATATAATTAAGAGTTCATGTATTTTTTTATATTGTGTTTTTATTCTAATTGTTCACTTCTTTTTTTTTTTTAAATTAAATGTTCTAAATAAATAGTTTATGTTACATATCCATATATATCAAATATAACTAGATGCTTTAATAACTTGCTACGTAGACCATTGAAAACATTTTACATCATTTTTTTATATCACCAAAAAATAATTTTAATTTAATAATTTAATTTGTTAGATAAAGTTACAAGATATGATATATATTATTCTCATACTATCTTATATTTATTTTTTATTAAATAAATAGAGATAATAAAATTTAAACTCGTGGTTGCTTGGTCATTAAGGTTCTGATACCATGTTAAAGAATTATCTCAACTTAAAAGTTTAAGTTGTTAAATGAGGTCTCAAGATATAATTTATATTATTCTCTAACATACCCTTTCAAGTGAAAGCTATTTGAGTTTGAAATTAAATTTGTATAAGTCCATACTATTTTGTACTTAATTTTTATTAAATAAATAAGAATAAAGCGATTTAAACTCATAACTGCTTGCTTATTAAGACTCTGATACTATATAGAGAAATATAGTATGTTTTCAATGAAAATTTTTTATACTCTATTGATTGGTTAAGAATCTAATTTATATATAAAGTATATGCTAAATGTAAGGAATTACAACAAGCTAAATATGGAAGGATTTACAACTGTTTTCCTAGAATCCTATTGCACTATCTATTTACATTAATAATAGAAATCAATAGCAATGTTCTTGGTAAGAATATTCATATGATCTATATGATTTAAGGCTAGAAGTCGGAGTGATTGTTCTTCTTGTAATTTGCCTTCATAGACCATCCATTAATCTTTTATTTTTCTAGGCCATGATGACAAAATAAATAATTTATTATCATCTTCATATAATAATTTAATATTTAAAGATATAAAGGCACGTGTAAGGTTGTTAAAATCAGGAGTTGACTCGTAAAATTATATAATTTTATAAGTTAATATATGATTAATGTGTAAAGTCACTTTAAAAACTTAAAAATTAATAAAATCAAATTAAAATTAGATAAAATCAGTAAAATCAAGTGAAATCGTATAAAAACACAAGTTTAGAACTGTTTTTATAATTTTAACAAAAATTATATACTTCAAGCTCTAACCCTTCAATCCACATCAATAGTATGACTTTAACTGTAACTTAAAGACTATACTTATAGCATGACATGGCCAAGTAAAGTTGTGAAGACTAAAGACTATACTTATAGCATGACATGGCCAAGTAAAGTTGTGAAGACTAAAGACTATACTTATAGCATGACATGGCCAAGTAAAGTTGT